GCCTTTGCTTGCTATGGGGGGGTGGGAGGTGGCTGTCCCCTTCTTGGGGGTATTTGGGCACAAGAGGCATCAAAGAAAGAAGTAAGGGAGATGAGGAAACGGAGGGGCCTCAGTTGTGCTCTTGCTCAATGGCTTCTCCACCCATACAGCGTGCCTATGATGCTCTTTGGTGTCCCCATGCTCTGCTTACTTGGCCTTTGCTTGCTATGGGGGGGTGGGAGGTGGCTGTTCCCTTCCTGGGGGGTATTTGGGCACAAGAGGCTCCAAAGAAGCTGCTCAGCGTGCACTGAATGCCCCTCAGGCCCTCGGTGCTCCGTGGCCGTGCAGCCCTGCAAGAGGGTGCCAGGGATGGTGGGGACATGGGGGTGCTCTCTGTGCCCTCCCTGCTCTGTTGAGGACCCACCATATGGGACACAGAGGATGGGAGACCCATGGTCAGAGCTTGGCCCTGGGCAGCAGCCCCTTGGCCTGGGTGCCCCACTGAGCAGGGCTGGTGTTTGGGAGTGATTGCACTGAAGGGTGCTCCAAAAGGGAGAGGTTTTAACTGCGTGTCCTTCTCCCCCCTGCAGGAACCTGAGGACGTAGCCAAAATTCCCGGGTAAGGTTCCTTAACGTGGATTTTCCTGCTTTTCCTTGCCAACTGATGAATTGCTGCAGCTTTAGGGCTGCCCTTAACGCTGCTGGGGGAGCCAGAGCTTGAGCTGGGTGCAGTGGGACCGCTGTGGGCTTGTCCAGCTCTCGGTTCCCCCTGCTGCCATGGCTCTGCCTGGAGATCCAAGGGAACCCCCTCTCCCCCCAGGCTGGGTGACTTGGGCAGGATGTACGGGTACAACCCCAGCCCTCCCAAGCTCGAGGGGATCCGGAGGCCCACGAGCAGGACGGCGCTGCTGCAGAGCAAGAGGCTTTCCAGCACCCCCCAGCCCAGCACGGATGTAAGCATTGATGCTGGGGATGGGATGGGGTGGGATGGGGTGGGGTGGGATGGGATGGGGTGGGGTGGGATGGGTGGGGTGGGATGGGGTGGGATGGGATGGGATGGGATGGGGTGGGATGGGATGGGATGGGATGGGATGGGATGGGATGGGATGGGATGGGAATGCCAGACCTGGGCGGGAAGGGGTGGGCCTGGCTCTGCCCATCCCCAACCTGGTTCAGTGAAGGCCTTGAGCCTTCCTTGGGGTTTGTTCCTCTGCAGCTCCATTCCCAGCGCAGGGCTGGGATGGGATGGGATGGGATGGGATGGGGTGGGATGGGATGGGATGGGATGGGGTGGGATGGGATGGGATGGGATGGGATGGGGATGGGATGGGGATGGGATGGGGTGGGGTGGGATGGGGTGGGATGGGATGGGGTGGGATGGGATGAGATGGGATGGGATGGGATGGGATGGGAATGCCAGACCTGGGTGGGAAGGGGTGGGCCTGGCTCTGCCCCATCCCCAGCCTGCTTCAGTGAAGGCCTTGAGCCTTCCTTGGGGTTTGTTCCTCTGCAGCTCCATTCCCAGCGCAGGGCTCTGCTTTGTGGCTGTGATTTCCTAGGGGAGGGGAAGCTCATTTCCTCCTGCCCCTGGGGCCCTTCAGTGGTTCTGGGAGCCCCAGGCACAGGGGCCATGTGTTGTAAGGGGATGCAGCACCTCGGTTCCCACAGCGGGGATGCCACGGCGGGGGGTTCGCTTTGTGCTTCCTGTCCCTTCCTCCCCGGTGCTGGTGCTGGTGCTGGTGCTGATGCTCTCCTTGCCCCAAGGTGCCCTCGGGAGCCACGGGCCCCTATGGCCAGGACGTGCTGACCGTGTCGAGCAGCACTGAGAGCGAGGGGGAGAACGGCCCCACGGCAGCGGGGCAGGGCCAGGCCGCCACCAATGACAGTGATGACATCCAGACCATTTCCTCGGGCTCCGATGAGGAGGAGGGGGATGAGAAGAAGAACCCGTCCTCGGGGTCAGGTGAGGACAGGGGCAGGGGGGGGCACAAAGAACGGGTACAGTGAGGACACTGGGGGCAGAAGCCACCAGAATGGGCTCCTGGTGTGAGCTGTGAGTGGTGCGGCCTGCTCCATGTGCCAGTGAGCTTTGTGTCACCAGCCAAGGGCTGTGGCTTCCCCAGGGGTTGTGTGGGCCATAAAGCGCAGTCCCCAAGTGCTGGATGTTGCAGGGAGCTGAGGAAAACCAACTGTGAGGCTCATTGTGCAATGGGGAGAGCTGGGAGATGCCCTGGAGCCAAGGAATGGGTTGGGTCCTAAGGGATGCTAAAGCTCATCCAGTTCAACCACAGCCACCTTCCACTGGAGCAGGATGCTCCAAGCCCCTGTGTCCAACCTGGCCTTGAGCACTGCCAGGGATGGGGCATCTGAGTCCGTGCCTATGGGGCTCTTGTGGAGGATGCAGGGAACACGGTGGCGTCTCCTCCCTATGGCAGGGCCCATGAAGAGGCAGGTGGCTGTGAAGTCCACCCGGGGCTTTGCCCTCAAGTCAACCCATGGCATCGCCATCAAATCCACCCCCATGGCGGCCGACAAGGGCGAGAGCGCGCCGGTGCGCAGGACCACGCGGCAGTTCTACGATGGTGAGGAGTCCTGCTACATCATCGATGCCAAGCTGGAGGGGAACCTGGGCCGGTACCTCAACGTGAGTCACCTCGGGGGGCAATGGGCACATTGGGGTGGTCTGGGGCAGCTCCCATAGGAGCCAGGTTGGGAGCGTTGGGGCTGCTCAGCCTGGAGGAGAGAAGCTGTGGAGAGCTCAGAGCAGCTTCCAGTGTCTGAAGGGGGCTGCAAGGATGCTGGAGAGGGGCCTTCATCAGGGACTGGAGCGACCGGACAAGGGGTGATGGGTTCAGACTGGAACAGGAATTTAGGTTGGATATAGGGAAGTTCTGCATAAAGAGACACTGGAATGGGATGAATGGAGAAGCTGTGGCTGCCCCATCCCTGGCAGTGCTCAAGGCCAGGTTGGAGCATCCTGCTCCAGTGGAAGGGGTCCTTGCCCATGGCTTTAACTGAGCTTTAAGCTCCCTTCCACCCAGCCCATTAAAAAGTGGGGAAAGAGCCGGATGAGGAGGATGGATCCACCCCTGTGGCTGGAACCAGGCCCTGTGATGGCCAACTCAGACCTTCCTCAGCAGCATCACCTTTCCCTGTGCCTCCAGCCCGGCTGTGGGCAGGGAGGGAGTGGAGCCCATTCCATAGGGAACGCTGCTGCTTGTCCCAGCTCCAGCCCTGTGCTCACGGTGCCTCTGCTCCCTCCAGCATAGCTGCAGCCCCAACCTCTTCGTGCAGAACGTGTTTGTGGACACCCACGACCTCCGCTTCCCTTGGGTCGCCTTCTTCGCCAGCAAGTGAGTGGGGGGCACAGGGATGGGTGTCCCCTTGCCCCTGGCCCTGCTCTGTGTCCCCCCCAAGCCTGAGTGGGGAGAACCCCCCCACTTCCTATGCAGGTTCTGGGTTGGTTTGCAGTGGGTTTAGGCCTTTCCAAAGGGGGATTTAAGGCCCTGGTCCCCGCCACGTGGCTCCTGGGCCCCGGGAGCACGGAGTCTCCTTAGGGAAGCCCCATGGGAGTGATTCATCAGGGACCTTTGTCCCTGTGCTCCCGATGGAGCCCAAGGCAGCGGCGCCGCCTGCTTCACCCTTGGCCTGGGGGGGAGCTGGATTGGTCCAGCGAGGTCGGATGGGAGCACTGGGAGCACTGGGAGCTCCGGCTGCTCCTCCCCTCTGGACTGGCCTCTCCCCTTCAGCCGGGTCCTTCTCTCCCCAGGAGGATCCGTGCTGGCACGGAGCTCACCTGGGATTACAACTACGAAGTGGGCAGCGTGGAGGGCAAGGAGCTGCTGTGCTGCTGTGGGGCCATCGAGTGCCGTGGGCGCCTGCTCTGAGACCCCCCCGGGTTCCCCCCCTGCCATTCCCAAGCTGAGGAAGCGGCTTTGACTCTGCCATCACTTGAAAACCCAGCTTGAAGGGAGGAGATGGCCACAGACTGAGGGGGATGCAGCAGGGGATGTGGCAGGGGGGGGATGCCCAACCTGAGCCTCTGGGATGTGCTGCTGCCACTGGTTTTCCAATGGGAAACACAGGGGATTGAGCAGTGTCCATCCCTGCAGGGTTGGGGGTAGGGTGATGGGATGAGCCCAGTTCCAATGGACCAGTCCAGGGGTGAACCTCAAGCACTGGAGGTGCATGGGCTGCAGCTGGGGCCTGGTGCAGGATCCTTTCCATTGCCCCAGAGCAATGAACCCCGGGGTTTCTGTTACCAAAGCAATGCCCTGGACTTGAGACCAACCCAGTTTGGCCTCACCCCACTGCAGCTCCACTGAACCCATCCCCATGTGGGAGCCAGAGCCGCTGCCGCAGCCATAGATGATTCCAGAGCTCTGGAATTCTCTTTCTTTTTTTTTTCTGGAAGTTTATTAGTTGTGAACTTTTCGTATCTTTCAAGCTTTTTATTTCTTTCCTTTTTTTTAAAAAACAAGAACAACAAAACACGTTTTTTGGTCTGTGGTTGGGAATGGTCCTTTCCTTCCTCCCTCCGCGCTGGGACATCCCCAGAGCCCGGGATGGAGGCAGGAGACCCGGAGCCAAGCCCCCGGCTCCTTCTGGCATCCAAATAAATAGAAAACAGCAAAAAAAAAAAAAAGAAAAACACAAAAAGGAAGGAATTGGGCTGTGAATTTGTCCGGGTGGAGCCAGGGGGGACCCAAATCCCACTGCCAAAAGGAGGGGATCCAATGCCGGGAGCGCAAACCCCGCAGCTCCCTTCCCAAGTGTGCCCCTGGGCCACTGGATCCCCCCTGGGATTGCTCCACTCCTCCCTCCCACCCTGCCCCGGGCTCGGGGCTTCTCCCCCATGGTAGAGGCAGCCTCAAGGCTGGGATGGGGGGGAAAAAGGGGGAATAACGGGGCTGGAGCCCCGGCACCGCGGTGGTTTAAGGCAGCAGGTGAAAGGCAGGAAGGGCACCACCGGTGTGAGGTGGGGAAGCAGCAGCGGCTGCACCCGGAGGGGTTTTGGGGGGGGGGTACCCCCATGGCGGTGGCTCCGGTGGCTCAGTCGGTTTTGCGGTGGTTGTTGTTGAGCACCGGGTGCCCGTTGGACAGGGGCCCGTTCTTCTCCTCCTCCTCCTCCGAGTTGTCCGTCTCCTCGCGGTCGCTCCTCTCGTCCTCCACCACCTATGGGGGGACAAAGGGGGGGGCTCAGCTTCCCCCATTGCAACCACCGCGGTTTGACCCCCTCCATGGGCACCAGTCAGACCCACACGGGGGCAGAGACCCCACACACGCAGGGAGCCATCCATGGCACCAGAGCCTCCAGTCCCCGTTGAGTTGCTCAACCCAGCTCCACGATTTGGGGCTCTCCATCGTCCCCCCCCAGTCCCCCTCTTGCCTTTCCAGTTATGAACTTCTGGGCCATGCGGATGATGAGGTAGGCCCAGAAGATGTGCAGCGACTGCAGCACGGCCATCATGAAGTTAAAGAAGTAGTAGCCAAAGAAGGCCGGGTAGAGCTCCAGCGGGTAAACCACGGTGCAGTGCATGATCCTGCCGGGAGAAGCAGCTCCGTTATGGGCAGGGACCAGGATCCTGCCCCCCCTCCATGCCCCATGGGTCTCCCTGCCCCATGGCTCAGTGTCATCGCTCACCAGAAGGGCAGAATGACCAAGCGGGTGATGATGAAGACGGCGGCGAAGATGATGAAGATGTTGTTGCAGGTGTTCCTCCAGCCGGCGTAGTTGAACATCTTGGCAGACTGGGGGGGGACAGGGGGTGAGTGATGGAGACAGAGGTGAAGATGCAGGGGAGAGCTCAGAGCAGCTCCTAAAGGGGCTGCAGGGAACCTGGAGAGGGGCTTGGGACAAGGGATGCAGGGCCAGGGCAAGGGGAATGGCTTGAACCTGCCCGAGGGGAGACTGAGCTGAGCTCTTAGGCAGAAGCTCTTCCCTGTGAGGGTGCTGAGGCGCTGGCACAGGGTGCCCAGAGAAGCTGTGGCTGCCCCATCCCTGGCAGTGCTCAAGGCCAGGTTGGACACAGGGGCTTGGAGCATCCTGCTCCAGTGGAAGGGGTCCCTGCCATGGCTTTAGATGAGCTTTAAGGTCCCTTCAACCCAACCCATGCCCTGGTTCCCTGGGGAGGTGGCTGGGCTGTACCTCCAGCAGATAGTCCGAGGAGTCGTGCAGGGCCATGATGAGCGTCCCCGCACGGATGTAGTTGGCAAACCAGGAGAAGCTGATGAGGATGATGGTGGCCACGTGGTGGATGATCTGCTCCTTGAAGTCCTGCACCCACAAAAAGGGGGGGAGCTGGAGGCTGGAGCAGGCTCCAAACACCACAACCTGCTCGTAGCCGAGATCCCCATCACAGCCCCAGAGGGTGAAGAACCCCCTGCCAAGGTGCCCCCAGTGAGCCCCACTGCCCCAGCCCACCTTGCGCTTGACATCGGAGGCGATGCTGAAGAGCAGGGACCAGTAGAAGGAGAGCTCGATCATGTAGTACCAGTACTGGGAGGGCAGCATGCTCTGAAAGCCAAGAGACAGCTCAAGGGCTTCACCCCATCCCGTGGGCACCCACAGCACTCAACCCCCTTCTCCCTGTGCATCACCCAGACCCACCTGGGTGCCAGGGACACCCCACACACCCAGAGAGATCCTCCACAGCAGCGGGGGCTCTGGACCCTGCTGCCCAGGGGGCAGGGATGGGGCTGGAGCTCACCTGGATGGGGTATCCCTTCCACACCTCCCGGAGGTCGTAGAACCAGGGTTTCTGTGGGATGTGGAGGGGTTAGAGGGGACTGGTGGGGCTGATGGGGCAGGGGAAGGGGAAGGGGAAGGGGGGGGCAATACTTACATCCACTATAACAGCCATGCCAGCAATGAAAGCAATAAGGTAAAAGGTGAATCTCCAACTGGAAAAAGGAAGCAGATGGTCCTCAGGTGGGCACCGGGAGAGGGAGGGAGGGAGAAGGACGGACCCACCAGCCCCGTGTCCCCCCGTCCCCTGGGTCCTCCCAGCCACAGGGGTGTCCCACAGGGTGACGGTGATGGGGATGGGGATGGAGATGGGGATAATGATGGGGATAATGGTGGGGATAATGGTGGGGACAGTGATGGAGACAATGATAGGGATGGAGATGGGGATGGGGATGGAGATGGTGATGGAAATGGGGACGGTGATAGAGATGGGGATAGTGATGGGGATAATGGTGGGGACAGTGATGGAGACAATGATAGGGATGGAGATGGTGATGGGGACAATGATGGCGACAATGATGGAGATGGGGATGGGGACAATGACAGGCACAGTGATGGGGATGGCGATGGGGACAATGATGGGGACAGTGATGGGGATGGTGATGGGGACGGTGATGGGGATGGCAATGGGGAGAATGATGGGGACGGTGATGGGGATGGCGATGGGGACAGCGATGGGGACAATGATGGGGATGGCAATGGGGACAATGATGGGGACGGTGATGGGGATGGCGATGGGGACGGCGATGGGGACAATGATGGGGATGGCAATGGGGACAATGATGGGGACGGTGATGGGGATGGCAATGGGGACAATGATGGGGACAATGATGGGGATGGCCATGGGGACAATGATGGGGACAGTGATGGGGATGGCAATGGGGACAATGATGGGGACGGTGATGGGGATGGCAATGGGGACAATGATGGGGACAGTGATAGGGACAGTGATGGGGATGGCAATGGGGACAATGATGGGGACAGTGATGGGGATGGCAATGGGGACAATGATGGGGACAGTGATGGGGATGGCAACGGGGACAATGATGGGGATGGTGATGGGGATGGCAATGGGGACTACGATGGGGACAGTGATGGGGACTGTGACGGGGATGGGGACGGCGATGGGGACGGTGATGGGGATGGCAATGGGGACAATGATGGGGATGGTGATGGGGATGGCAACGGGGACAATGATGGGGATGGTGTGGGGTGGTGGGGTGTGGGGGTGTGGGGTGTGGGGGATGGGGACAGTTATAGGGACAGTGATGGGGATGGCAATGGGGACAATGGTAGGGACTGTGATGGGGACAGGCCCGGGGTCTCACCTGGCCTCCCTGAACTTCTTGAGCAGGCTGGGCCGGTCCTGGTTGCGGCGGCGGCGGAACCAGCGCTCCACTTGCCGCACGGTGCAGCCGCTCTTCTTGGAGAGCATCTCCACATCAGCCTGGGGACAGCGGGGCCACCACCACCGTCACACAGGGACCCGGCTCTGCTGCTCGTATCCCCCTCCCCAGCCACACCAAGCCCCTTTTGGGGGCACCCCCCCCCCCCAGCACCTCACCTGCTTGGGGTGCTTGGAGGTGGCAGCGTAGAACTTCTCCAGCACGGGGTTAGGGGTGGCTTTTAACCTGATCTTCTCCTTGACGTTCAGCAGCCCGGCCAGGGGGGTGGCCACGTACCTGGGCAGGGAGCAGGGGACCCAAGGGGTCGTTTCGGTGCCCCTTGGTTGATGCGGCCCCATCACAGCCCCCTCAGCGCCTGTTTCCCCATCCCGCTGTGGGGTTTCAGCACCCAAAGGCCCTGTGGCCTCCCCAACAAAGCCCCCTCTGTTTGCCCCAAGCATCGCTCCTGGAGGATGCACAAAGCCGGATTGTGGCTGCACAAAGCTCGGTGTGGACTGGGATGGGGGACACGGGGCAGGACCCCAGGGTGGCCCCATCGCAGCACCATGGGGGGGGTCCCTGTCGCAAGGGGAAGGGACTCACGTCTCAAAGAGGTGCCGGACAACGAGGAAGACGAAGGCCAAGGGGATGGTGATGTAGAGGTCGGAGGCTTTGGCGTAGACGCGCCCATCCCGGTCCTCCAGGTCGGCCCAGGTGAGGTTCGCCGGGAGCCAGAGCCGCTCCCACCAGAAGCAGTTGTACAAGGCCTGGAACATGCTGGGAAGGAGCAGGGGAGAGGTGAGGGGGGGGCCCTGGCACCGAACCCCCCCCCCCTTCCCTTCAGCTCCCGGCTCCGCGGGACTTTGCTCCCGGCCGCCGAGGGGTCAGCGGGTGAACATTAACCGGAGCCGTGGCACCGGCCCCAGGGAGGAACCCGAGTCCCCACCGCGGGGACTTCCCCGTTTGCAGGGGTTCGAACGGGAGCCCCTCGGTAGCGGCCGGGCCCGGGCGCCCGCCCAGGCCTGGATTAGGGCTCTGCCAACGGGACAATGAGCGCTTTGTGCCTTAAAAAGGCTCCTGACGGGCACCGGGAGGGAGCGGGCAGCGCGGGGCCGTCCCCGCTGCCACCGGGGGGCTCGGTGCAGGCCGGGTTTGAGGGGGGGGTCCGCGAAGCCCCCCCAGCGTGGAGCAGGGGCTCAGGGAAGCAGCGGGGCCGGTTCTGCGGGGGAAGGCGGCCCCGAGTCCCGTTGAACCGGGGTGGGCAGGGCCGCGGGCACGTAACGGGAACGCAACGGGAACGTAACGGGAACGTAACGGGAACGCAACGGGAACGCAACGAGCAGGGGGAGGCGGGGGGAGGCCCCGGCCCCCCGCGTTCACCGGGGCCCCGCTGCCGCCGCGGAGGAGCGGAGGAGCCGGAACCGCCGCGGGGCTGAACGGGGAGGGGGGGGGGGCACAACCGGGGTTCAGGCCCCCCCCGGACCGGTTGAGGAGCGACCCCGCCGGAACCCGCGCGTCCCGGGGGCAGAACCGGGCCCCGCTGCGCAGCGACCCCGCCCCGGGGTTCCGGGTCCCCGCCGCCTGCGGGGTCGCGGGGAGGGACGGCCCGGGACGGTCCCAGCGGGGGCGGCACAGACCGGGGAGCACCGGAGAGGCCCGGTCTGACGGGGGGGGGTGGGGGTGGAAGGGACCCGGGCCCAGCCCCCAGCCCACCCCCCCCCCCCAACCCGGTACTGGTAGCACCCAGGCCTCCCCCCCTCCCCCCACCCGCACCCCCTCCCCTCCCCCCACTCACGCGCCGCCGCCCGGAGCCGCCGCCGCCGCCTCGCGCCAGGCAGCGGGCGGGAGTGACGTCACCGCCAGCACCGAAGGCCCTGAGGGGAACGGGGCGGGGCGGGGCGGGGCCGCCAGGCCTGGGCAATCGAGCGCCGAGACGAGGAGCGGAAGGGCCCGTCCGTGGGTACCCCCCCCCCCCCCGCCCCAGGCCCCCGTGTCCGTGGGGTCCGGGAGCCCGCAGCGATGTCAGAGCCAGACCCAGACCCATGCACATGGGGACGAGTCCTTTATTCGCCAAGCGCTAAGGCCACGGTTCAGACACGGGGGGGATTGGGGGTGTGACCCCCCCATCCGAGTCCCCCTGCGGGGGGATCCCCCCCGTGTTAAGGCCACTGGAAAGATTTGGGTGGTCCCAGCAGTGGGGGGGGGTAAGGACCCCCCATTCCTCCATGCGTTTTCCCTGCTTCCTGCCCCAGGTACACCCTGGAGGCCAGGATGGGAAGTTGGGGGTCTCTGGATGTGGGGACCCCCCCCACACACACAAGCCCCTGAGGAGCCCCCATAGGGGCTATAGGATGACACAGTCCAAGTCTGGCTTCTGCCGCTGCCTCTGCTCCCCGGGCGGCCGCCCCCGGCCCTGTGGGTGCAACAAAGGGGGTGGAAGGACCCATAGAAACCCCCCCCCATCCATCCATCACCCCCCTGGCCCAGGCGGTGGGGCAGAGCAGGGAGGGGGGGGAAGCACCCACACCCCCCCCTCCATTATATCCCCAGCCCCATGTACCTGCACTGGGGCCTGTGGCTGCTGCTGGGGGTGATGGCGATGCTGAGGATGCTGCTGCTGCTGCTGGTACTCCTCCTGCTGCAGCTGCTGCGCCAGCTCCAGGTCACTGAGGGTGGAGGGTTCCTGCCCCTGCTGCTGCTGCAGGGACAGCGCGATCAGGTAATCCTATGGGGGACGACACAAAAAGGTTCCTCAGCACAGCAGCACCCCCGGAGCTGGGATGGGACCCGCGTGTCCCTTGCTGCCACCCATTGTCCCCTACCTGGTCCACTTGTCTCTGCTGGTGTTGGTGCTCTGGGGGGGCCGCAGCAGCCCCTTCCTTGCCCGGTGTGTGGCTGAGGTGGAAATCGGTGTCACAGAAGCAACTGTCCCCATCCACGTTGTGGAGGCTTTCCCAAACCACCTTCTCCTCCTGCAGGAAGCCCTGGTCCGTCACCAGCAGGTAAAGGTGGCCCTGGGGAGAGGGGGAGAAGGGGGCAGCGGCTCCCAGCCAGCCCTCGGTGGGGCTGGAAGGCAGGGGGGGAAGAAGGGGCTGGTGCTGCACCTTGTGCTTGATCATGGTGCTGAAGTGGTTGTTGCGGAAGAAGACGCTGAGCTCGCCCTCCCTGACGGCCCCCGTGAGCTCACACAGCCCATGGTAGGTGAGCTGGGAGGCCGTGGACTCCAGGAACTGCTCTGCCACCAGCCCTATGGGGGGGGACACACACAGGGGGTGGCAGTGGGGCTGGGGTGACCAGCACCCCCCCCCCCATAGGGACCACAGCAGGGCAAGGGGGGGTTACCTTCGCTCACCAGGCTGGAGTCACTCGCCTGCTTGCAGGTGATGATCTTCTCCACCAGTTGGTTGTAGCTGAGCTTGCCCACGGCCTGCACCACCTCCGGGCTCTGCAAGGAGGGGACACTGAGCACCAGCGCTGGGGGGACCTGTCCCCAAACCCACAGCAGCCCCGGGGGGAGGTTAGGGGGGTTGGACCTTCCCCAACCAAGCTGGACCATGGCTCCATCATGGGGATGTCCAAGAAGCTGAGCTGGTGGCTTCCACCATGGGGAAGGGTTTGGGTTGGAAAGGATCTTCAAGATCATCCAGTCCAACCTTATGCGGTGTTGTGGGGTTGGGTTGGGGTTGTTGTTTGTGGGGTGGTGGTGTTGTTGGGGTTGGGTTGGGGTTTGTTGTTTTGTGGGGTGGTGGTGTTGTGGGGTTTGGGTTTGGAAAGGACCTTCAAGATCACCCAGTCCAACCTCCTGCCATAGGCAGGAACTAGGTCAGGTCCATAGCCCCATCCATAGCATCACAGAAGGGTTTGGGTTGGAAAGGACCTTCAAGATCATCCAGCCCAACCTTGTGCCACCAGCAGGGACATCATCCACTAGGTCAGGTCCAAAGCCCCATGCACAGCACCACAGAAGGGTTTGGGTTTGGAAAGGACCTTCAAGATCATCCAGTCCAACCTCCTGCCATAGGCAGGAACTAGGTCAGGTCCAAAGCCCCATCCATAGCATCATAGAAGGGTTTGGGTTTGGAAAGGACCTTCAAGATCATCCAGTCCAACCTTATGCTACAGGCAGGAACTAGGTCAGGTCCAAAGCCCCATCCATAGCATCATAGAAGGGTCTGGGTTGGAAAGGACCTTCAAGATCACCCAGTCCAACCTTGTGCCATAGGCAGGAACTGGGTCAGGTCCAAAGCCCCATCCATAGCATCATAGAAGGGTCTGGGTTGGAAAGGACCTTCAAGATCACCCAGTCCAACCTTGTGCCATAGGCAGGAACTGGGTCAGGTCCATAGCCCCATCCATAGCATCACAGAAGGGTTTGGGTTGGAAACGACCTTCAAGATCATCCAGTCCAACCTCCTGCCATAGGCAGGGACATCATCCACTAGGTCAGGTCTAAAGCCCCATCCATAGCATCACAGAAGGGTTTGGAAAGGACCCTCAAAACTCATCTAGACCAGGGGCAGGGCCACCTTCCACAAGAGCAGGTTGCTCCAAGCCCCTGTATCCAACCTGACCTTGAGTGCTCCCAACAATGGGGCATCCACAACTTCTCTTGGCAACACGTTCCAGTGTCCCACCACCCTCACTGTAAAATACTTCTTCTTTATGCCCCATCTAAAGGGACACAAGGAGTTTATGCCCCTCTTCCAGTTTAAACCCATTGCCCCTTGCCCTGTCACCCAGCTCATGGTAAAAACCTTCTCTCCATCCTCCCTCTACTCCTCTTACAGAATCATAGAACAGTTTGGGTTGGAAAGGGCCTTGAGATCATCCAGTTCCAACCCCCTGCCATGGGCAGGGACACCTCACACTAAATCAGGGCACCCAAGGCTCTGTTCAGCCCAGCCTTGAACACTGCCAGGGATGGAGCATTCACAGCCTCCCTGGGCACCCATTCCAGTGCCTCAGCACCCTCACAGTGAGGAACTTCTTCCTTAGATCCAATCTAAACTTCCCCTGTTTCAGTTTGAACCCATTACCCCTTGTCCTGTCACTGCAGTCCCTAATGAAGAGTCCATCCCCAGCATCCCCATAGGCCCCCTTCAGACACTGGAAGCTGCTCTGAGGTCTCCACACAGCTTCTCTTCTCCAGGCTGAACAGCCCCAACTTTCTCAGCCTGGCTCCATACAGGAGCTGCTCCAGCCCCTGAGCATCCTCGTGGCCTCCTCTGGACTTGTTCCAACAGCTCCATGTCCTTTTGATGTTGAGGACACCAGAACTGCACACAGTGCTCCAGGTGAGGTCTCACCAGAGCAGAATAAAGGGGCAGGATCACCTCCATGACTGCTGCTCACGCTCCTTTTGATGCAGCCCAGGATACGGTTGGTTTCTGGGCTGCAAGCGCACACTGAACCCTGCTCATGTTCAGTTTCTCATGGACCAGCACCCCCAAGTCCTTCTCCTTGGGCTGCTCTGAATCTCTTCTCTGCCCAGCCTGTAGCTGTGCCTGGGATTGCTCCCACCCAGGTGTAGGACCTTGCACTTGGCATGGTTAAACTCCATGAGGTTGGCATCAGCCCACCTCCCAAGCGTGTCAAGGTCCCTCTGGATCCCATTCCTTCCCTCCATCATATCAACCGAACCCCATAGCTTGGTGCCATCAGCAAACTGCTCCTTTTCTCCAGGATGACCCCAGCTCTTCACAGCATTGGTGCTGCAGCCCTTGGCTCACTCCCTGGCCCCACAGCAGCCATGGGGCAGCTCACCTGGGGGTCCACCAGCCAGCCGTGGTAGAGCGGGACGTTGAGGAGGTCGAAGACGATGCACTCCGGTGTGTACTCGAAGTCTGAGACCCCCGTGAACCTCACATTGACATCCAGCCCCGTTGAGAGCTTGGGGAGCACCATCATGGAGTCACTGATGTTCTGGGGGGCAAGAATGGGGGGGGTTGCTTGGGAAGGGGGCTGGCACCCCAAGCCCTGCACCCCAAGGCCACCGGAGCTCCCTAATATGGAAGGGAGCAGGATTTGGGCTGGGATTGCTCCTCACCTGCTGGAAGTTGAGCTGCAGCCCCTCCGATGGCTCCCGGGGCTGGGTGGCCAAGATGCAGTCCCCTGCAAGGCAATGCAGTGAGGCCCTGGGGAGGCCCCGGTGAGCCCCGGTGCCACCGCACTGGCAGCAGGACAGGGACAGCCTCACCCAAATGTGCCATCAGCTCCTCGGCCGTGACCACCTCCTTCTGCGGGGGCAGCTTCACCTGGAAGCAGCGAGAGGCTGAGGAGCATCCCCAGACCCCTTCCCCTCCTGATCCAGAGGGATTTGAGGCCAATCCCCCCCCATCCCACCCAGGTCCTCCCCTCTGCACCCCACTTGCCTTCCACTGCAGGAGGAGGATGTTCATGATGGCGAGGAGCGGGCAGGGCCCGTTCTCACTCTGCATGATGACCGGGGTCCTCTCGCCCTTCCAGCTGATCCACTTCACGCAGTAGAATTCCTCCTCCGCTTCCTGACTCGGGGGCTGGATCTGGGGGGGCTCTGAGGGTAACCCCAGTGCCCCAGCACTGGAGGTGGACACGGGGGGACCCGGCAGGGACCCCCCATCCTCCTCACACTGCTTCTCCTCAGCATCCTCCTGCAGATGCTCAATGGGGGGGAGATGTGGGGCACAAGATGCATCCGGTGCTGGGATCTCCTCGCTTCCAGTCGGCTTTTCCTCCCCACCAATGGCCTCTTCTAGAAGCTGGGGAGTCCCTTTCCCATTGGAAGGGGCTGGGAGCATCCCTTCCTGCTCCGGTGGCTGCTCCATCAGGAGCCTCACTGTGGTGTCCTGCCTTGAGTGGGTCTGGATCAGGCTCCTGGGAACACTCTATCCAGGAACAGCCGCATCCTAAATACCTCCATTAGAAGGGAAAAATCGGGTATTTCACTTAAAACCACGTATTTCAGTCCAATTTATTCCCTAGGAATGGCTCATGTAGCTTCAAGCTCCTCTTCCCAATTCCTCTCCATTCATTTCAGTTACTATCCGCCTCCCATTGGGAAGGGAAGAAGGAAAATCCCAAACCAACCTGGGAGGAACTGAGGGGTTCAATGGATCCGAAGCGGCGCAGGGAAAGGTTGGAATCCTGCTCTTCCACAGGGGTTTTCCTGCGAACTCTTTGGCCAAGATGCTCCTGCAGAGAGATTTGGGAAATCTGGCTTAGAAATCCTGGAATTTGAGGAAATTTGGCTTAGAAATCCTGGAATTCGAGGAAATTTGGCTTAGAAATCCTGGAATTCGAGGAAATTTGGCTTAGAAATCCTGGAATTTGAGGAAATTTGGCTTAGAAATCCTGGAATTTGAGGAAATTTGGCTTAGAAATCCTGGAATTTGAGGAAATTTGGCTTAGAAATCCTGGAATTCAAGGAAATTTGGTTTAGAAATCCTGGAAATTGAGGAAATTTGACTTAGAAATCCTGGAATTTGAGGAAATTTGGCTTAGAAATCCTGGAATTCGAGGAAATTTGGTTTAGAAATCCTGGAATTTGAGGAAATTTGGCTTAGAAATCCTGGAATTTGAGGAAATTTGGCTTAGAAATCCTGGAATTCGAGGAAATTTGGCTTAGAAATCCTGGAATTGGAGGAAATTTGGCTTAGAAATGCTGGAATTTGAGGAAATTTGGCTTAGAAATCCTGGAATTTGAGGAAATTTGGCTTAGAAATCCTGGAATTTGAGGAAATTTGGCTTAGAAATCCTGGAATTCAAGGAAATTTGGCTTAGAAATCCTGGAATTTGAGGAAATTTGGCTTAGAAATCCTGGAATTTGAGGAAATTTGGCTTAGAAATCCTGGAATTCGAGGAAATTTGGCTTAGAAATCCTGGAATTCGAGGAAATTTGGCTTAGAAATCCTGGAATTCGAGGAAATTTGGCTTAGAAATCCTGGAATTCGAGGAAATTTGGCTTAGAAATCCTGGAATTCGAGGAAATTTGACTTAGAAATCCTGGAATTTGAGGAAATTTGGCTTAGAAATGCTAGAATTTGAGGAAATTTGGCTTAGAAATCCTAGAATTTGAGGAAATTCAGCTTAGAAATCCTGGAATTTGAGGAAATTTGGCTCTGAACTCCTGAAGAGATTCAGGAACTTTGGCAACATTCAGGAATGTTGTGCCAGCAATCCTGGGTCTGGACCCTTGTATTCCCAAGGGGATTGGGGATGCTCTGAGAGAGATAGGGATGGAAACACCGGGGTTGGGTGGAAATTAGGTGGAAATTGGGTGGAAAAAGGGTTTTTTTGGGGGAGGTGATGAAATTCCAGGAGAAAATCAAGGATTTGGTGACCTCCAAGCTGCTCCCGCCTGGTTTAGGGCTGGAGCAAAGGGATTTTGGGAGAGAGGAAAGAAAGGGGATGGCGCCTAATGCCAAACATAGTAGTAGTAGTAGTAATAGTAGTATAATTAGTGTCCTTATTTAATGAGTAAGTAGCACAGAGGTGGAGCAATAACTACACCAACATTCCCAAGGAATAGACATGAAGAAATGCCATTAATAAACACATAAAGCACCATTCCTCCAGGAACAAATCCACAAACAAGGAACTAAAGCCAGAAAATGGGAAAGAAAAAGTGTGGGGGTGAAGGAAATGAATGCTCTTGGTGGAGCAATGGGTGGGAGGTGAGTAAAGAGCTGAGGGTTACTGGGTAAGGAAATGATGAGTAAGGATTTAATAACTGGGTAAGGAATTACTAAGGAGGAGATGGAGGAATGGGGTCAATGAGTGAGGGAATGTGGCTGGAATCTGGGAACGAAATGAAGTGGCGAGGAAAAATAAAGAAATTAAATAAAAGGAAATAAGTAAAATAAAATTAAAATAAAAGGAAAGGAAGTAAAGTGAAACAATTAAAGGGAAATAAAGGGAAATAATGGAAATAAAGGTAAATAAAGAGAATAAAGTGAAATAAAAAGAATGAAGGGAAATAAAGGGAAATACAGGGAAATACAGGGAAGTAAAGGGAAGTAAAGAGAAATAAAGGGAAATAAAGGGAAGTAAAGGGAATAAAGAGAAATAAAGGGAAATAAGGGGAACTAAAGGGAAGTAATGGGAATTAAAGGGAAATAATGGTAAATAAATAAACGGAAATAATGGGAATTAAAGGATAATAATAGTAAATAAATAAAGGGAAATAATAGGAATTAAAAGGGAAATAATGTTAAATAAATAAAGGAAAATAAGAATTAAAGGGAAATAATGGAGTTAAAGGGAAATAAGGGAAAATAAGGGGAAATAAGGAGAAATAAAGATAAATAAAGGGAAATAAATGGAAATAAAGGGAACCAAAGGGAGGTTGAGACCCGGCACTGCGGTCCCACGGAACGGGTCCCTCGCTCCCAGGAGCCGGCGCCGCTCCCGCCCCGCCAGGAGCCGGTTCTGGGGCACCGGGAGCCGGACAAACCCGCTCGGGGAGGCGGCTCCAGCCCCGGCCCAGCCCCAACCCCCCCCCCCCCCGGCAGCGGGGCCGGGGTCCCGGGGCCCTCCCACCCCCGGGGTCACCGCTCCGCAGCCCCCGGCCCGCGCTTACGGTGCAGCCGCTGCCGCCGGGGTCCGCGCCGCCGCCCGCCTGCTCCGTTCCTCCTTTTCCCTCTTTATTCCTCCTTTCCCCTCCTTTTTCCTCCCCTTTCCTTCTTTATTCCTGCCTTTTCCTTCTTTATTCCTGCCTTTTCCTTCTTTATTCCTGCCTTTTCCTTCTTTATTCCTACCTTTTCCTCCTTTATTCCTGCCTTTTCCTTCTTTATTTCTACCTTTTCCTTCTTTATTCCTGCCTTTTCCTTCTTTATTCCTGCTTTTCCCCTCTTTATTCCTGCTTTTCCTCTCTTTATTCCTCCTTTCCCTTCTTTATTCCTTTATCCTTCCTATCGGCTTTTTCCTTCTTTATTCTGCCTTGTTTTCCTCCCTTTCCCTTTATATATCTCACTTTTTCCCCCCTTTATTCCTCCCTTTCCCTTCTTTATCCCCCCTCTTTCCTCCTTTCCCCCTTCCTTTTCCCTTCTCCCTCCTTCCACCCTCTCCCCTCAGCCGGGAGGGCGGACTGACAGCAGGAGGAGGAGGAGGAGGAGGAGGAGGAGGAGGAAGAGGGGTGGGAAGCGAAGGCAGCGACTCCGCTTCCCTCCGGGAACACCGGAGCTTCCCGGTGCCTTCCCCACGCGAGGCCTAAGCGTTGGGAGCACCCCAAATCACCGGGATTTTCCCGTTTTAACGCTCGGTGCTGCGCGGGATGGGGTGGGGGGGGGTGTTAAAGGGGGGTTTGAGGTGTTTGGGGGGGATCAGGAGCCTTTTGGGGGGTCAATGGGGTACCCGCGACAATCACCTCCGCCTCAGGCCTCCGCGGCGGGGCCCGGCGCAAGGGATGCCGGGAAGGGGGCGGGCACCGCACCTGGGGGCGTGGCCGGGGCCGTCCCGTGTCGTAGCCGCTGGTACCGGGCGGGCCAGGGGCCGCATCCGGATCGGCGCCGGGATGGAGCGGTTCGTGGAGGGGAACCGGGCGGCTCTGCAGGTAGCGGGGCTGGGCGGAGTGGGGTGCAGGGGGTCAGGGTGCGGGGGAGGGAATTGGGATGCTCAGGGGATTGGGGTGCTCAGGGGTTCGGGATGCCCAAGGGGTTGGGATGCCCAAGGGGTTGGGATGCCCAAGGGGTTGGGATGCCCAAGGGGTTGGGATGCTGGGATGAGGGTGCAGAGGTTTAGGGTGCAGGGGAGGGAATTGGGATGCTCAGGGGTTCGGGATGCCCAAGGGGTTCGGGATGCCCAAGGGGTTGGGATGCGGGGGAACTGGGATGCTGGGATTAGGGTGCAGAGGTTTAGGGTGCTGGGGAGGGAATTGGGGTGCTCAGGAGACTGGGGTGTAGGGGTTTAGGGTAACAGGAGAGAGCAGTGAGCAGAGATTTAGGATGCTGGGTAGGGAATTGGGATGCTCAGGGGACTGGAGTACAGGGGTTGGGATGCCCAAGGGGTTGGGATGCTGGGGAAATGGAATGCTAGAGATGCAGAGGGTGCAGAGGTTTAGGGTGCATGGGAGGGAATTGGGATGCTCAGGGGACTGGGGTGCAGGGGTTTGGGGAGACAAGATGGAGCAGGGGCAGAGGTTTAGGGTGCACGGGAGTGAATTGGGATGCCCAAGGGGTTGGGATGCCCAAGGGGTTGGGATGTGGGGGAAATGGGATGCTTAAGCAGATGAGGGTGCAGAGGTTTAGGGTGCAAGGGAGGGAACTGGGATGCTCGGGGGATTGGGTGCAGGGGTTTGGGGTTCATGGGGACTGGGTGCTCAGGGGAGCAGGACGCTGGGGGTATTGGGGTGCCCAAGAGATGGGGGTGCAGGGGGACTGGGGTGCTCAGAGGAGTGGAGTGCAGGGTTTAGGGGGGCAGGAGGGAGCAGGGCCCAGAGGTTTTGGGTGCAGGGGAGGGAACTGGGGTGCTCAGGGGATTGGGGTGCAGGGGTTTAGGGTTCATGGGGACTGGGTGCAAAAAGGAGCAGGGAGCTCAGAAGCTGGGGGAATTGGGGTGCAGGAGTTTAGGGTGCAGGGAGGGAATTGGGATGCTCATGGGATTGGGGTGCAGGGCTTGGGGGGGCAGGAGGGAGCAGGATGCAAGGGTTTAGGGTGCAGAGGGGAATTGGGATGCTCATGGGATTGGGGTGCAGGGGTTTGGGGTGCAGGGGTTTGGGGTGCAGGAAGCAGCAGGATGCAAGGGTTTAGGGTGCAGGGGGGAATTGGGGTACCCAGGGGAGTGAGGTGCAGGGGGAGCAGGGTGCAGCAGGGCTGTGTGCCCAGGGGAGCAAGAGGACTGGGTTCCCAGTGCAGGCACACACACAACCGGGTGCCCAAGGCATCAAGACCCTTCACTGGGGTGCACCCATGTCCCACAGCAGCTCAGGCTGAGCTGACAGAGCCCCATTGGGGCTCCCCAGCACCCCCAGCCCTGTCCCTGCTCTCCCAGTACTGGGTGCTGGTTCCCAGTCCTGCTGCGGGGTTAGCACTGGTGGTGGTGGCTCTCGCTTGTTTCCTTCCTTGGCTTACGCTGAACAAATGAATCTGGGTCATGGCATCAACTCATTGTCCCCAAAACCAGGGCCTGGAGACCCTCGAGGGTGACAGGATGGGTGCCAGCACCCAGGGAGGGGGGGCTTGGGGGGGTGACGTGGGTGACACTGTCATGGTTTTACTGCTGGAGGCAGGAAAACTGGGGTGAAACGTTGTCTTTTGGGGGACAGCCCCCCCAAACTCACACCTCTGCAAAAGCCACGCTGTGCTGCCAGGCTGTGACAGCATTCCCCATGGTGGGAATGGCCCAGTCCCTGCTGCTGGTGGTGGCGGAGCTGGGTGTTCCCGTTGCCCTTGGGGCCGCGGTGCCTCCGGTTTCACACACGTGCCCCAAAAACGTGGCTTCTGTGCCAGAACTGGATCCCGCCCGGAGGGTGACGGGGTGCCAGGAGCTGGCGGGTGGCACAAGGGTGACATCTGCGACGGGTCCCTGAGCTCCCTGCCTTGCCTGATGCCTCCCATCCCGGCAGGAGCGCATCCAGCATCACCAGGAGGTCCACGTGGTGATGGGCAACGAGGCCTGCGACCTGGACTCCACCGTCTCAGCCCTGGCCCTGGCTTATTTCCTGGCACAGGTGAGGCTCAGGCGCGGGGCTGGGGACAATGGGTGGCTTGGGGACATCTCACCGGGTGCCACCCCTTGCCCCAGACCTCCCCGGCTCCCAAAGCCGCCTTCATCCCAGTGCTGAACATCCCTCGCGCCGACTTCCCGCTGCGGACGGAGACCACGTTCCTGCTGCAGGAGCAGGGCATCCCCGCTGCCTCCCTCATCTTCAGGGATGAGATCGACCTGGCGGGGCTGCACCGCGCTGGGCTGCTCTCCCTCACCCTGGTTGATCACAATGTCCTGCCCAGGTGAGCAGGGGGCACATGGGGACAACGGGGGCCACCCCCCCGAAGCCTGGTTGCCATCGATTTTGGCCTCAGGGGGGGTGAAGCCTTTCCCTTTCCGGGGTGTTTTAGGGAAGGATTTGAGGAATAAAGGGAGTTTCACCTCCCCATCTCACCCACCAGCACCGATGCAGCCCTGGAGGATGCTGTAGTGGAGGTCCTGGATCACCGGCCGCTGGAACGGGCCCGAGGTCCCGGCTGCCCGGTGACGGTGGCACTGGTGGGGTCCTGCGCCACGCTGGTGACCGAGCGCATGGCCCAAGGTCCCCCGGGGGTGCTGGACCGAGCCACGGCCACGCTGCTGCACGGTGAGCACAGGGTGGCTCTTGATGAACCTTATGGAACCATAGGGGATGGGGACAGCTGATGGCTCCTGGTTGTCCCCTCCAGCCACCATCCTCCTGGACTCCATCAACCTGAGCCCAGCCGCTGGCAAGGTGACACCCAGGGACGTGGCGTGTGTCTCCCTGCTCGAGGAGAGGTTCCCCGACCTGCCAGCCCGGGACACCATCTTCAGGACCCTGCAAGCCACCAAGTTTGATGTCTCGGGTCCGTGCCCGGGGTGGTGGGATCCACTGGGACAGACCCATCTCCCTGGGATCAAGGACTCACACTCGGCTCCTCTTTACCTCCTAGGGCTGACAACGGAGCAGATGCTGCGCAAGGACCTCAAAGTCCTCTCTGGTGATGAGCTGGTCCTCGCCATCAGTGCCATCTACGTGGACCTGGAAGTGAGACCCGGCAGGGGAAGAAACTGAGGCAGGAGGTGGCACAGCGGTGACACCAGGCTGACACCAGGGTCTCTCCCCCTCCAGACCTTCCTGCACAGGCCCAGTTTGCTGCAGGACCTGGATGCTTTCTGCCAGGCTCAGGGCTACACGGGGCTGGTGGCCATGATCGTCCCTTACAACGAGAGCAATGTGCTCACCCGGCAGCTCATGGTCTACAGCCAGCACGAGACCTTCCGCAATGCTGTGAGTTGGGGGGCCGGGACCCCAAAGCCCCCAGCACAGGGGTCTGGGGTAGCAGCCAGGTTGTGGCTCACCCCAAAAGCTGCTGGGTTTGGGGTATTAGCACCATGCTCCCCTCCTCTTGCAGGTGTGCCGGGCACTGGAGGAGGCCACGACACCGGCCCTGCACCTCCAGCCCATCCCGAGCCCCTGGTCCTGTATCACTGCCTACAACCAGGGCAACGCTTTGGCATCGAGGAAGAAGGTGCTGCCCATCCTCAGGGCAGCGCTGGTGGGGCCTGGGGCTGCCCTGGGGGGGGCGGAGGAGGAGGTGGTGCCACCCCCGACCCCTATGAACAGCCTGGTGGAGGAATGTCCCCTGGCACAGGCTGTGCCCCCCCTCTGTCCCCAGGATGTCCTGGAGCGCGTCAGCCGCATCGCTGCGGGGCAGCCCCCGGGCTCCCCCAAGTAACAGCACCAGCACCAGCCCCCCGTGGATGTGGGGGCCCACACAATGAGGTGGGGTCACTGGGCAGGTCCTGGTGGGCTGTTTGGGCATAGAGGGGGTGCAGCCACCTCCGTTAGCACTCAGCTCCCTGATGGGGATGGGGTCCCGTTGCAGTTTGCACCCCCTGCCCCAATGGCCCTGCTGGGGTTTGGTCCTCCCAAGTGGGGACCCCATGGGCATTAGGGCCAGCAGCACTCGCATGCACTTTAACAAAGGCATTGGGGAGGTTAACAGGTTCCTGCCATTCTTCCTTGGGGTGGCTTTGGGGGTCCCGGATGGTGGGGCTGGATGTGCAGCCAGCCCGATGCTATCACCCATGTGCTCTGAGGATTAAACTTCCCTCTTCCACTCTTGGCTCTTGCCTCTTCTTCTGGGATGGGTCCAGCGCTGCCCCACTCACCCCAGGGGGTCCCCTCTTCTTCTGGGGTGCAAACCTCCCTGAGGGGTATTTGCCACGGTGCCAGGTACAGGACAAGTGGCTGGAGGATAGCGTGGATCCGAGTATGGTGCAGCCCTACAACCAGCTCCTCTCCCATGCGGATTAGCAAGGGGGGGACAGGTTGGGATTCTGGGTTCCCCCCCCCAGAGCCTGTTATCCCATGGCAGATGCAGGCAAGGAGGCAGGGAAACCCTTGGCTGCACCCATCAGCTCCTGGCGCCCTTATGAAGGGTGGCTGTGACCCTGCAGCTGAAAGGCCAGTCAGGCACAAGGCAGGGGGTGATGTTCCCACTCCCTTCCCACTTCCAGGCTGCCTGCTGGGTGCTCTGGAAGGCAGCAGGGACCTGGTGGTCTCACCTTCCCTTGGCAAGCGCCACAACAGCCCCATCACCACAGGAATCTGTGCTGCTCCATCTGAAAGGAAAAGGCACATACCTCACCCTCCATTCTTTGTAGGGTACATGGGATCTCTGCCCCGTCTCCCTCCTTCCTACCAGGTTTTACTCTGGGGGGTGTGCACCCATGCTCACTATGTACCTTCTCTGAACAATCTCCTTCTGGCCTTTCAGGACCCCCTTGGATGTCATGGATGTGACACCTATGTCGGGATGAACATGGGTGCAGAACTTCGAGCAGCACCAGGGCTGCTCTTCCAACCAGGCTGAACTCCAGCATCGGATGGATGCCAGCAGGAGAAACAAAGCCAAGTGGCAGCAAGGAGCAGTTCCTAGGATGCCCCACACCTGATCCAAGAGCACCTTCTGTGTTTAGTCACAAGCATCCCTGGTCCAAGCAGCTCTCCAGTGCTGAGCCTACATCAGACATCTCCAACAACCCACACAGGAACTTCCCTCTGAAGGAACAGCCTTCCTCCAACCTTCAGCACTTCTCCACCATAACTAACCCCTGGAATAGCCTGGAAAAGGCCCTGCTGAAACCCAGTCACCTCCCAGTCACTGCACTCACCTCACCACAGCTCCCCTCTCCTTTCTCCCTACTGATAGCAATGAGATCACGTGAGATTCCATACTAACAACCTGGAACATCCATGAAAGGAAAAGAAGAGCCAGTTTGGTACCCAAGAAGAGGAACCCCAATGGGGTGGTGTTTGTCAGCAAACCTGCATCTTCTAAGTAAAACCATGCAAAAATAAGAGCATTTGCAAAGAGTTTCTCTAGGGTGGGAATTCAGAATGTAGCCCTATGTTATTTTTGCCACAGGTTTGAGGGAAAGAAGCAGAAAAGACCCCGTTTATCACAAGAAATCTCAGCATTAGGCTCTAAAGCACTGCCTCAGCACCTGATCTCCACTGGAAAGCACAGGACTGTTCTGATGGAGGTAGCCAAGATGGGAAGGGGCAGAAGCAGGGTTAAAACACCTCGCTATTCAGGAGATACCAAAAGGAACGAGGAAAGGGGAATATGATGAGAGAGCTGTGTTAGGAGGGGAGCACACGCCTGTTAATGTGCATCAGCTCTAGAGGGATGTCATGACAGGTCACTGTCATCTTTACCTCTGCAGCCCTCGAGGGGGGGGTTGTAAACGGCAGGGATTGGGACCTGGGAGGGGGTGGGCGTGAAAAGAAAAGAGCCACCTGCCTGGAGATCATCTCTGCCGGGACTCGAACCCGGAACCTCTGGATTAGAAGTCCAGCGCGCTCGTCCATTGCGCCACAGAGACCTCACCACGGCTGCAGCATCCGCACCAGAACTGAAAAATTCCGCATCCCCGGCATCACCGGCGCAGCCCCAGCACCCGGAGCTGAGGCTGGAGGAAACCCGGTGCCCAGCTCAATCCCCCTTGCAAATCCCCATCTCCAGCATCCCTGCTTCCACAGGCACGGAGGTAACGCGGGGATGAGCTGCATCTGAGGCAGCAGCAGGGATGCAGCAAAAACCTGGATGCAGGCTCTCTTTCCATAGCATCTCCTGCCTGCCTGAGGGCAGAGCGAAAGCCTGGAGGAGAGTTAATTGCTGCATCTCCCCCAGCATCATCGCAGCATCCTCAGTGCAGAAGCCAAGAGAGAGGGAGATGAAAGGGGATTTAGCTTACGGCACCCAACACTGACAGTGATGATGAAAGCTCTGTTTGTCACGATGAAAAATGCAGAAACCTGGGGTTTGAGCACAGAAAGAAAAGGAAAGGCAGCTACTGTGGGTTTATTTTCAACCAGCTGTCAATCAGGGCTTTAATGTTTCCCTGTGTGCAGCTCCCATTAGAAAAAACGGCATCAAAACACCAGGAAATCTCCTTTTACAGCCACTGAGCTCCTATTAGCAATTGATCAGACTCTGTGGCACGATTCCTTGCTGTGAACAAACCCGTTCTGCATTTCAGAACTGCAGGGATTTTAGGGTATTGTTTACTCCTAAATATGCTCTTTATTAAAGGCAAGATATTAACTGCTGCTCACAGCACTAACAACCTCAGCACATCTAATGCAAACCCAACGAATTTGGGTTTCCTTTGCCTGATGCTCTGAGGCTCTGGTAATGTTGAGGCTTCTCTTGACAAGCAAAATCCAGCTGGAAGTGATGGGAATGAAGGCAGGGGTTTAACTTCTGTCAGACTAAACCCCTCCTGCTGCAAGAGAGACCCAGTAAATCAATAACCCTTGAAACAAATTACGCTGTGAACCAAGTGTAATCCCACCTTGAGCCAACCCAAAGGGTAGAAAACACCTCTCTCCAGGGTGAGCAAAGGCTGTGCTTAATGAATGTCACCCAAAACATCCAGCTCAGACAAAGTCATAAAGCACCAGTACAGAACAGAAGGGAAGAAATCAATCTCGCACAGCCCGGGGCTGCACTCTGGTGCTCCCCATGGGAGGAGACATCTCCAGCTCTTTCAGTAAGATTTTGGGAGGCACCTCAAAAGTGCTGTTACCAAGCAAGTCACAAAGGTGGAGATGAAGCGTTCAAGGGCACAAAGCTCAGCAGAATGGCTGTGGCTTTGCGGGCCACGAGTCAGAGGGCAGCTGGGGTTTGAAAGAACCCCCATTCCTCCCCACTGAGCTGGCTTAGGGCTTGTTTGAGCCCTGCCTTTCCCTTCTCCTTTCATACACCTCCAGGTAACACAAAGGGCACCCCCTGATCAGCAGCACCTCTAGGAGTGCCATCAGAGCCCTTTCCTCCTCCTTGTCCCAGCACAGGGACATGGCCACGGGCCACAAATACCAGTAAGCAACGTGCAGCTTCCAGGTCCTTGGGCCACCGGCCAGGCAGCTCTGTACCTGCAGTAACTTGGCCAGTCTTCCCCGACGTACTGCCTGTCCCTCTGTTATCTCCATGCTTGGGAAGCAGAGGCTGCAGCGAGCAGGAGAGGTGCAAGCAGGTTATTCCTGGTGCTGGAGGATGCCAACACACCCGTTCCTGTGGGAAGAGATGACAATGGAATTCAGCAAGCTGAGTGTTCTGAGGCAAGAGCAAAACCCCTCTTGAGATCCAGAGAGGGAGGTGTTTCTAAGGCCAATGTCCCCAGCACAAACTGGGGACACTGCACGCAGGAAAACCACAAGCCATGAGCCAGGATGCGGTGGAACAGGGTGAACCAAGGCCATTTAATCCCTTATAAACAGCAGGGAGAGGCCTTTTGCGAGACAAAGGCTGAAGCAGCACCACGGGTGTCTCCCTGGAGCAGGACGATGCCACCTCACGTTGAGTTGCTGTAGGGCAGCATCGTCAGCGCTGGGATCCCAAAGCCTCTTTGCCCACTCCATCGACAGCAACAGCAAATCCTCGCCAGGGCTGGGGCTGCTTTGTGCTATCCATGCTTTTATAGCAAGAGTCACCCCAGAGCCAGCCCCACACCAAGCCAAGGATGGGGGTTAGAAGCTGAGTGCGTGCAGGCCACCAAGCCCATTAACCCCATATCCACAATGGGAATCCCTAGATCCTTGCAATGTGTTGGGCTGAAGCTGCCTCCAGTGGTCACTGACACAGCCCCACGTCAGCAGAGGAGCGATCCCAGCCACCCTATACATAAAGGGGATGGGAACCTCCCAGAGCCCAGGCCTGGAAAAGCGGACCACAGAAACCAAGGATAAACCCATGCAATGAACCAGGGTGGAAAAGAGCTTTCAGCTCAGCCAGTCCAACCCTGTTCCAACGCCTGAGCACCCTTTGGGGCAGGAATTGTTCCTCAGCTCCATCTAACCCTGCCCTGGTGCAGCTTGAGGCCGGTTCCTCTTGTCCCATCCCTTGTTCCTTGCGAGCCCCCTCCTGGCTCCATCCTCCTGGCAGGCACTTGTAGGCAGCCATCAGGTCCCCCCTGAGCCATCGGAACCCCCCAGGTCCCTCAACCCTTCCCCATCCCTTGTGCTCCAGGCCCTGCTCCAGCCCCATTGCCCTCCTCTGCCCCCGCTCCAGCTCCTCAACGCCTCTCCCGCACTGATGGACCCGGATCGCACAGGATCCATGGGGATGATCCCTTCCCACCAAACGGACCCCCCCCGCGCTGTGCCGCGGTCGCGGTGCCTCAGTTTACCCGCTCAGCCGTGACCCCCAACCCTGCCGGGCCCCTTTGGACCCCAAACCTTCCACTTTTGTCTCTTTTTCCCCTTCCCGCAACCCCTGCTCTCACTTTCCCCCTCACTCACCCACAGTCACCGCCGCTGCTCCCCCCTTGTCCCGCTCGGGGCCTCCCCGCGGCCCGGGACACCGGCGCCCTCCGAGGCCGCGCTGCTCCCTCCATGGCGGCTCAGGCCCCACAGGCCCGGGGGCCTCCCTCCCTACCCCGGGCCCTCCTCCCGCTCCTGGGGCCGCTCACAAACCGACCCCGGCTTCGGCTCCGAGTTCCCCCGGCCCCGCTCCCGCTGCCCCGGCCGCCGCCTCGCCTCGCTCCCTCTTTTCCGGCGCTTCCCCTTCCCGCTCCCTTTGTCCCCTCTCGGCCTGCCCTTTCCGCCCGGG